AAAAACATGCTACTACTTCCTCCGTTTCATAATATCTTAAAATATATTTATTTATTATATTAATAAAAGAAAACATATAATTTATAAAAAAAAAATCGTATAGTATTTAAATTTAAATTTCAAAATCTTAAAAAGTTAATTTAATCCAATAATTTAGCTTTTAAAATTGATTAAATTAACTTTCGGAAAGCAAAATGTTTAATATCGTTCATATAATTTTTGAATATACAAATATCATTTTCAAACTCCTACACTAATTTAATCCAATAATTTAACTTTAAAAATTGATTAAATTAACTTTTTAAAAGCAAAACATAAAATATCTTTCATAAATTTTTAAATATTTAAAGTTCAATGTAAAAATCTTAAATTAATTCAATTCAATAATTTAACTTTAAATATTGATTAAATAAACTTTTGCAAAGCAAATCATGACAACTATTGTGTGGTGGAAGGAGTATTACTTACAAGTGAAGAATCTAAAAAAATAAAAATATTTTAATTAATTAAATTATTCATTTATTTGTTTACATTGACCAATGTGTACAGATTCATTAAAATCACTTAATTACGGCCATTTAATATTTTATTCTCGTTTTAATTTATCATTTGAATCGGGAAGTGAATTTTTCATCGGTTATCCCTTTTAGTAAATGATCTCATTTATCCTTTCTACGTAAAATATTTTTTCTTAGGGAAAAATGTTAAATCTTGATATTACACTAGACATCGATAAAATATTTTATCTAAAACTATACTGAACAATATATAAATAAATATTATACTGAAATCTGACATTATTATCCAATTAATTTAAATTGTAGCCTTTCTAGTATGCATGTTCATAATTAAAAGCACTCAACAACCATTTTCAACTATCAAAAAACAATTAATAATTTCCCCTTATAAATGTGCATATGGACACATATGATAGCATATATTTTATTTATATTTGGCTAACCAATATACTTTATACTTAATTAATATCTACTGACTGGCCAAATAACTTGTCCTAATAAGATTAAAATTGACGTTAAAATATGGTCAAATAATCATATTTCTAACTAAATATGTCTTTAATTGACATTAGAAACATGGTTTTAATAAAAAATAAAATTTCTAACTTAATAATTCTTGTCTTTTCCTTCTACTTGTTTGGTTGATGTTTTTACGTGAAATATATAAAAGCACGAACAAATTAAAAATAATTATTGCTACACTTTATTCCAAATTAAAGCAAAAGAACAAAAATAATAGAGTTCAAACACTGCACCAAATACAAGTTGATGAAAAAGCAAAATTTTTGAAAAGTATAGTAGCTTAATTAATTATAAAATGTTTAAAATGTGTGTGAGAGATATAATTTGACTAAGTTTAGGGTAAAATACATATTAAAACCTTGTAAGATAAATTTTTAGGTCCAACTAGTAGTTGAAAGATTATTAACTTTGAAGATGCCAATAATATGTTGTTATTTCACGATGGACTTAAAAAGGGACAAATGATAACTGTCAAACTATACATATCTTTTTCGATAATACAAAATACCTATACATATGATAACATTTGCAAAACACACCTAACGTCAAAATGCATATAGAAATACATATGAATACGAAAAACAATAGTGATACAATTGTGTTCGTTGATACGAAAATAATGAACTCAGGAACAGTGAGAGCCCAGAAATAAAAATGGAGATGCGGGGTATCGATCCCCGTACCTCTCGCATGCTAAGCGAGCGCTCTACCATCTGAGCTACATCCCCATTATGTTAAATTTCTTTCTCATTAGAATGTTAGTGAAATCCTTAATCCTTCGTTTTAGCCGTCTCACCATTCAATTTTTTCGGATATAGGGCTGTTTATTGTTAATAAATCAATCGAACCGTAATTTGAACTAATTCGATTAAAAGAACTAGCATTTGATTTGATTTGACTTAAACTTTGAAAATCGATACAAATCTGGTCTGATTTACTAGAAATAATCAAATCAAACCGATAGATTAAATATATAAATTTAATAATTATTTATATATTATTCAATAAATAAAATATTTTATTAATTAATGTAAAGTCATTAACTTTACCATTTTCTCAAGCTCAACACTTCAATTAATTTTAATCCAACTATTACAGGATCAAGTCCATCTAAATCCTTTATTTAATTACTCTTTACCTACCCTACCTCACATAATTTAATAGACACATTTTTTCTTAACTAAAATCACTTTATTCGTGTAATAATAACTCTAATATTTCTTAATTGAATCGATAATTACTTTCACGTGAATTGTTCATGTATTGGGTGTTCACGTTTATCAAAATACTAAAAGAATTTATTACTTTCAAATAAAAAACTCAGACCAAACCTAACCGACAATAACCATAACCAAACCGACGATTATTTTTTCGTTTGATTTGATTTTAAAAATTTTAAGAATCGACTAGGTTAAATTAATTTTAATTTTAAGTAATAACCGATCCAAACCAAACCACGAACATCTCGATAGGAGTGGTCATAAAATCTATCGTAATTTGCCGAAAAATAAAAAATAAAGAAGAAAATCACACGTTACGTTCGTTGTATATATAGTCGATGAAATTGAATATTATCTTATTAAACTTATGATATATATAAGTTAGACTCGTAACTAGATCTTACATATTTTCTTGTAAAACACGATCAACAACATCAACTCTAGCTACACCTTCATCACCAACTTTAGCAACATCAATTTGTCCAACAACTAAACCTTCAACTCCACTCACTTCTTCATCTTCATCATCAACATTATTCGGATCGTTCTCGTCTATAGCCACGGGCACATCATCTTCAAGTTCATATTCCACCGCGTCTCGCGGTCCTTCCCACGTGAATTTCCCACCATGCCCCGATTTCGATTGTTTATTTAACGGAATTCCATCTATCGGACGATGATTTTTTCTATGTACGCCTTTCTCTACGAGTCTTTTTTCGATGTGCTTTAACGTTTCTATGTTATGTGTATTAGTTTCAAGCTTGGTTATCTTTGGTTTGCCTTCTTCGTCATGGCTTATTGCTCTAAATGTTACTGTTTCCTTCTTATCATCTATGGGATTCATTTTTTTCTTGATTTTTTTTTTTTTTTTTTTTGTGATTGAAAATTTTAAATGGATTGATGTGTGTATTATTTGTGTATATATATAGAGATGGGAGGCGGTGGGAGTGTGCCACGTGTAGCATGATGAGGAGGTTTAAGAAAATTTGCCACTTGTTATGTTTGGTGTATAGACACAACTTTAATTTTTAAAGAATAACTGAAATATCTATGGTGATGAGATTTGGGATAATACTAAGAATTAAAGTTTTATTTTTATTTTTTTGGTACCTATTAAAATTAAATTTGTCGCCGTTATTCTTATTTCTTTGGGTACAGCAAATTATATAAAAATAATATAAATTGTATTCAAAAAATATAAATTGTACTCTTTCTATTTAATGATAGTTATCCACGATTGACGTGGTACACCCCTTAACTCTTAAGAAACAATAAAATTAAAAGTTATATTACTATTTTATTCTTTAATTTTATTAAATGTAATGTTTTAAAAAATATGTTAAAAGATAAATAATATTTAATAATAGGAGTAAAATAAACACAAAAATTAAATTATTTCTTAATTTTATAAGTTGAATAAATATTATCGAATAATTATTGTTGGACAAAGAAATTAGTTGATATATTTGATGTGATGAACTCGATGCAAAAGGTTTTAACTCTCCATTTAAATATCGTCTACTATATTAACTCAGTGAGTCTTATCTTTCTTTGGTCAGAAAGCAGCAAATAACATATATCAATAAATTAATATTTTATTTTATTGAATTTTTCATGTTCATTTTAATATATATTTTTTGAAGTGGTCTCTTGGATATCCTATAAAAAGTTTGGAAAAATTACGCAGAATAACAAATATTTTGCCTATATTAGGTACTATAGCTATAATTTAAGAAAATTATAATTCGTAGTTACAGTTTTTTCAATTTTTGCTATTCACTTGATTTGTATAATTTATATAAACTCAGAATTTGTCTATTCACATGATTTGTATAATTTGTATAAATTCAAAATTTGTATAATTCGATTCCTGATTGTACAAATTCAAAATTTTATATATACTTACCCTATCTATTTGTATATAATTTATGAAAAAATCATAATAAATTACCTTGTTATAAAAACATAGTTCTGAAAAATTCCTAAATGTATAAATCTGAAATTTGTCTATACTTACCCTATTTGTATATTCGCAAGCGAAATATACAATCGAACAAAATTATACAAACGGCAACTTCCATAGCAAACATAACTATAGCTATGAAACGCAATTATGAAAACTATAGCTATACAACACAATTATGTCTATTATATTTGTTATTTCTAAAATTTTCTCCAAAAAGTTCAAATGACCCAACTTATATTGGATTCGACTTTTCTCTTCCTTTTTTTCTTTTCTCTAGTCCAGTCGAATGGTAAGTGGGCAATGGGCTTTTTTTTTGTCAAAATGTTTAGTTGTAAAACACGAATGGGATAAAAATTGTAGCCAAAGAAGTTAACAATAACAAAATATTAAACCTTTATTTAGAACATTCAGTTAATTAAAAAGATTCATAAATTAGATCCATTATATTATTTTATGTATTAATTTTTACTCGCTCAGCGCTGAGCGAACACCTTTAACTTTGAAGACAAAATTCAATTGGCAACGGAACAAAAACTCAATTGTTTAGTCAATTATATAATTGACATTAATCGTTTAAAATTTAATTATTTAATGAATTATTAAAAATATTTAATTTTGAGAATGAATATTTAAACTCATCTTCATTAACCATGTAAGTTTATAAAATGCGCATTCTCAAAATTAAAATATCTATATCGTGAACTCGAAAATTCAGTTAGTGAAATTTGTTACTCAAGCTGAAAAAAAGACTAATTAGTAATTAGGTATGAATTTTACCAGAAAAAACTTCACTTATTATTTCATCACATCATCATCTTTACATACAGCAGAATACAACTAATTACCAAACCCAAATCACACAAATCTCAACAATGATTAATCAATTTTCAAGTTAGGATCAACTTCAATTCTAGCAACACCTTCTTCAGCCAATTTTGCTACTTCAATTTCACCCACAATAACTCCTCCTTCTTCTTCATCTTCCTCTGTTTCTTCATTCACATAATTCGGATCCTTCTCATCCAACGCCGGCGGCGCTGGATCCAATTCATTATCCGCTTCCTTATCCGGTCCTTCCCACGTATACTTACCTCCGTGTCCTTTCTTCGGATCATGCTTTAACGGCAGCCCGTCCGATGGATGCCGTTCCAATCTCTGCACCCCTTTTTCCGTCAACTTTTTCTCAACGTACTTAACAGTATCGACGTTTTTAGTATCGAGTTCCAGCTTTTCAACGTGTTTTCGTCCTTCTTCGTTTGCTCTGCACTCTGTTTTGATCGTAACTTTGCCATTGTTGATCTCCTGTACCACTGGCTTCATTTTTTTGCTTTTGTTGAATTGATTGAAGTTTTATTTATTTTTTTCAGTGAAGATGGAATGAGTTAAAGGGTAAATTGGGTATTTATAATTAGAAATTGGAAGGTGCTGGAAATGCTAGAAGGTTCTGCTAAGGAACCTTACGTGGGAGCTTTCTGGAAAAACTCTGGATAATTGTAGAGACAAATCAAAAAAGAACTGAAAATTGAGAGAAAAGGCACAAAATAGTCCATCATTTTGGATTAAGACTCAAAGTCATCTTTGAGTTTTCACATAGAACATTAATAGTCTCTTATATTTGCAATATTGATGCACTTTTGTTCCTCATTCAAAATTTTGCTTATTTTTTAACATTGATTTTATTCACAATTTATGTATGGGATGTTTAATTGTTATTTTATATATTTAGTAGAAATAATAACTCCATGTGAGAGATTGTGAGAAGAAAAATACCTTATTTTGTTTAGTAGAAATCGTATTGCAGGTAAAGTCGGGAGGTTCATCACGACAATTTCACGTACAATAGTACAATTTTTTCTTTTCTTGCAATATCATATGTTAAAATGTTCTTAGTTTAGCTGCAGTAATATTTATACTGAACAGAACAAGGTGTTCTTTTTTTCACCTTATCTCACATAGAATTATTATTTCTACTAAATATATAAAAAGACGATGGGATGAACAAAATTAATGTTAAAAGATAAACAAAAGTTTAGGGGATGACTAAAAGTACACCAATATTACAAACATGAGAGACTATTAGTGCTCCATGTGAACGCTGAAAGATGACTTTGAGTCTTAACCCAAAGATGAAGGGGTATTTTGGGCCTTCTCTCGAAAATTGACATAAGTTTTACTCACTACATCCTTAATTACTTGTTTACTTTTGTCCTTATTTACTTGTTTACTTTTTCTTTTATAGTTGTTTCTAATTACTTGTTTATTTTAACCTATCAAGAAAGGACAAACTTTTTTTTACCTATTATACACTCAATTAATTACTTTGAAAAAGATAGAACTTTTTGAAAATCATAAGTTTTTAATTCATCTACTTCATAATTAATAGAGAAAAAATGGTAAATTTACTATAGCAATTATTGATTTTTAATAGGTGTGTCAATTCAAAAATTGACAAGTAACTAGAGACAGAAGGAGTATTTAAGATAATTTAAATATATTTTATTCACTTTAGACATTTTTTGTAGATTGTACTATGTCATTTTGACAATTTTTTGATAATTATTCAATTATACAAAGTGCGTAATACACTCATCAATAGCGTATTAAAATAACGAATTACACGAAGACATTTATTATATGAAAACATTAAGAGCATGACGACCAAGGGTATATTGGTCATTTGAGACTAAAAAAAAATACTCCACATAATTCTCGAAGCATTATTACTGTACTTTCTTCCACTGACAAATACAACTCAAACCTTCATTTTTTTTTTTTGGGCTTTATTGACTCTCTTTCAAGAAAACTCTCTTGTGATACTCTTTGTATGTCTCATCATTTTTGTTCTTGTGATGTGATATATAGAAATGTGAAGTTTGAGGACGACCAAGGACACTATCGTAATTTTACTCCTGAATGATATTTTAACTTTTAGACTGAAAGTACGAAACATCTCTTCCATTCTGGTAGAAGTGATTAGTGCAGAACAGCCGCAATAATTATAGTCTTTGCTTCTTGACTATCTTTATCATTAATCCTTCATGAAAGATTTTTGGATTGTCGTACTCTTAACTTCATACATAGCTATATATTTGTCATAGATTGATTTGTATTTTTATTTCATTAGGTCTTTAATTTTCATCAAACTATACCCTTTCACCTGCTAAGAGCAACCCTAACATAATGACAATTGATATTAGGTAAGTGCATCAGGTTGTCAGTTGTATAATATTTGATATTTGCTTTCAAATCGTACGTACATTTTCATAAATTTAGCGATTAAATAAGTTACAAAGTGTGTATCTTGACTAATGGAAGAAAATTTAAAGTAAGTACTAAGTAGGAGTGCATTTGCTTAAGGGCAGAACATACCATTACATTGGATGTTTATTTCCTTAATTCTTAACTTTTTTATCGCATAATGAAACTAAATGAAGATTTTTCAAGCACAAAAGAAAATAGGTTAAAAATTGGTGTCCACTTCATTATTCTTATAATGAAATTCGAACACCAACTTATAACCAACTATATATATAACATTGATTTATGAAGATTGATAAAGTTGAACATGATTATATGTTACAATCCAACGGTGCATAACACCATGATTATATGATTAAGGTGTTCATTATGGTGACAATTTGGTGTACATTTCAATCTAATATATAATGTATGATATACACCAAACATTTACACCACACCACAAACAAACCAAAAGTAACTAGATTATTTATATAATAGATTTATTAAACAATCAACTAAATGCATAATACCATCATATAATATCTATTTTTTAAAATTTACACATTAATTATAGTGTACTTGAATGGTGTACATTATGGTGTATAATTTAATATGATAAATAATACATATTTTAAACCAATATTACACCATGATCTTACCAAGAATTTTATCAAATTATTTTGGATAACCAAATTAATTAAAAATTGAGTACATTACTATTTAACATAGATTTCCATATTAATATTGTCATTAAACAGAGGTAAAATTTATAGAATTCGAGTTATATTAGGTATTAATCTTGGTTTTGATTATATTTGCAATCCTACAATTCATAATACCATAATCTACAAATCATACGAAATGTTCGTTTTAACAATTATACAAATAACATTAGTGCCATGAATGATTCATCAAAATCAATTTACAAATAATAAAATTTCCATGAATAACCACAACAAAAAAGCCTTAAAAAGAGATTTTTCAGCCACTGAAACATTTGTTTGTTTTTTTTTGAAAAATCAAACTATATAATCTTACAAAAATAAATCTAAAGTAATTTAAAAAAAATGATACATACCGGTGATATCTCATATTTGTCGTGCTGAATTAAAACGGACACGTTCTTGCTTTCAACCATTGAAACGACCTTAAACAGGAGATAAAGACTTTGTTTTTGGTTACAATACGTTGTTTTGAGATATGAGAGAAATATTAAGTAATGAATATTTATGGAAGGTAACTGAATTGGAGTAAATTAAGGAATTAATATCTTATTTAATATTGAATGATGCGTTGCTTCTTCTTTTTTTTTACCCTTTTTTTAAATTTATTTTTATTTTGTTTTATTTTGTAAAGATTATATTGCTATGTTGGTGTAAAGTCAAACTATTGTTATATAGAGGTTATTTAGGTGCTTAAATTGTATATTTAAGTTTTTTACCCTAAAAAATGCAATCAATCAAAAAAGAAAAAGATGACTAGTATTTTTAATTATTTAAATTGCTCTATCAACTACTTTTCATTTAAAAATTATATATATATATTTGACTCCATTATAAAGTAACTTTTGCTTGATGCAATAATTAAAATTCTATAGCATGTATAAACAAGAAAGAGTTGTGTGTGAAAAAGTAAACTCCACTAATTTTCTTCATGTGACTCCAAGTCTCCGACTCCACTAATTTTAATTTAAGAGTTTGTTTGGAAAGCCACCTAATAATTGGAATTGGTGTAATTATTAGGGTAGTAATTATCAAAATAGTACTTATACAGTCTAGTAATTACATTGACCTGTTTGGTTGTCAAAGTGTAATTATACTGTAATTACACATGTCCTGTTTGAATGCCACAATGTAATTACAAATGTTGTGTTTGGATGCACAATTACAATCATAAAATTATATTAAATTTTAAAAATAAAAATTAATTATTTAAAATTTATACTAGACAAATAAGAAACTTTATAATAATATTAAATTAAATATTTAAGAGATATACATTTAAAAAATATATATATTACTTAATAAACATATGTTCTTAACTAATACTATGAAAAAATTATTGATTTATATTTTTTCAAATTAATATATTTCAATTGAATTGATCATAAAAACTAAAAGTATGAATTTTCTACGAACATTGTGAAATGCATGTTTGATAAAAATATTAATATATACATAAATATGATTTATTTTTTTATTTTATTTTTAAAAAAAATGTAAGTCTATAACCTTACTTAACAATAAATTCTATTTTAATTTGAAAATTAGAATACTAATAAAATTGTGCTAATGAGAAAATAAGCATGACATAAATAAATAGATAAGACGAAAAATTGCATAGAATCACGTGAAGTAAGATTGAGAACGAGAAGAAAATGTAATATAATATTATAAAATAAAAAATAAACTTCTAGAAAATTTTAGAATAATAAAAATCAAAATAGAACTTAAAATAATAAAAGTGATTTTTTTAATAAAAAAAATAGAATTAAAAAAAGAAGAAGTAATCAGCTAGTAATTACATCATGTAATTACCAACAATTCCCAACATCTGCCTGTGAATTGGAGAGTGTAATTACCCCCTGCCAATTACACCAATTACCTGCTGACCAAGTAATTACCCTGTCCAACCAAATATGACAGATAATGTAATTACACCAAATCCAATTACCAGGGTGTCCTTCCAAATAGGCCCTAAATGTAAAAAACAAGAAAGATAATTTTATATGCAAGTTTAATTACAGTTGTAATATTCTATTTTATTGTCTAATGATGAATTATTTAGTAACCAAACAAAATTAGGATGGAGTAGTAATTACTCAGAGATTTTGGATTCGAATTTTTGGGTATGAAGTTTCACTTGATACATAGCAGCGTCTTACTTTTAATATGGAACTTTTCGACGTAAATTCGGATATAGTCAAGCTTCAAAGTGGATATCAAACATCGGGTGGAAAATTGAAAAAAATTATTTAATATTTTTTTAAAAAATAACTTGTCTCCAACCAAATGAATTGAATCCTTTTAAGAATAAACTAAATTAGCAACTAGAAGAATGAATACATACATAGAACAACACTTCAACAAATATTAAATGGGTCGATTGTTTTAATTTTAATTACTCCCATTCAAAATGTTGTGTTCAATGTACAACTATAATTAAACTTGCATTCGTGTAAAAACATGATGAAGTATCAAGTATGTTTAAGATAACAATGTTGACCTAAGCTTTGTTGGTACTTTAACATAAGTAATATCGCCTCATAACTAAGGAATTTGTAGTTTTCAAGAAACAATTTATTTAGAAAAAAATAATTAATTTTATTTTAAATTTCTAAAATAATTTATGAGAAGTATTTTTTAGAAACCACAGCTGATAAGTTGATCTTTCTTCAGTACTTGATTAAATGTCAATATATACAACAACAATCAAATAATCAGTATAATCTAATTTCCCACAAAATGAATTTGGAGAGAGTAGAATATACTTAGAGTGTACTTTCACTTTAGAGATAGAGAGATTATTTTTGAAACCTCGGTTCATAAAAATAAACCTTATTCGGAAGGATATAAAAAAGGAATGCAACACGGGAACTTTTTGGGGTCACCGACCCAACTTAAGCATACATAACTTTGGAATTCTGATGAAATTTTATGCGTTAATGCTAGTATTATCAAAATGAAATGTACTGTTTGAAATTTAAAACCTTACGATAAATAAAAATTCTCTAAACAACTGAGTCAACATTTAATTTTACTTATAGATTTACTTGGAAAGTGGAAAGGCCCTATCATGTACATTTAATTTTACTTATAGATTTACTTGGAAAGTGGAAAGGCCCTATCATTTAATTATACATAATTAATAGACCTTTTTTTTATCCCACTATATATATAGGATCACCATAGTTTTCTCAAAGTAGTCTTTTATCTATAAAAAACTTTCATCTAATTAATTTCAAGAATGGCAAGTAATCTAAAGTTGAAAAATGTTGTGGTTGATTCTGATAATGCTAATAGTGATTATGAAGATGAAAAAGTTACTAAAAAATCAGAATTGGATCTTCCTTTGGAGAAATTGAACCTTGGTACTAAAAAAAAACTTCTTGTGCTTAATCTTGGTGGGCTACTAGTCGATAGGGTGCATCGCCGCAACGAGTCTGCGGTGCGGAGATACACCCCGGACCTTGCTCATGGAAATTTCCTAGGTTTGTATATTTACGTTTTTATTATTTTTGATTGGATGTTTAGTACTTCTATGTGGATATGGGTCAAGATGAAAAAATACAATTTTATTGTTTTTTATTTTACTTTGTTTCAGGTCATGTTGTTCTAGATCCATGGATTGTTTTCTATTACAGATTTGAACTTGAGACATTTTGTTAAGTTTTTTTTTTTTTTTAAGCATAAAAATGTCGATGATGTGTTTCAAATCACAAAGTTTAAATTTTATTTATTTATTATGTTATAAGTTAAATATAATCACATAAATCAGAACGTAGGAGGTAATACTATATTGATATTTTTTTTAATTAGAATTTGTTTTTTTTTGTATTAAAACAGTCTTCAAGAGACCTTATTGTGATCAGTTTATGAAGTTTTGCCTTGAAAGATTTGAAGTTGGACTATGGTCCTCTGCTATGGAGTTAGTATTAATTAAATTAATTTAATTATATTGTTTTTAATTAGTGTTTTAATTAATTGATTAATTAATCTAATTATTGTTACTTTTTAACTTTTCTTTTGTCCATATAATAGTCGAAACGTGGAACCAATTTTAGACAACATCATGATTGGCCTTCGAAAAAAATTGGTATTTGTTTGGGTAAGTGAATTTTTATTTAATTTAGTTTAATTAAATTAAAATTGTATTATTCTTGAATTATTTTTCATTTATTTTTTAGGATCAAGAAAAATGTATTGATAGTGGTTTTCCAACTGTGGAGAAGCAAAATAAGCCAATATTTTTGAAGCAATTGAAGAAAATATGGGAAAATAATTATTATGGTGGAAGATTTTCAGAATCTAACACACTTTTAATTGATGATGAACCCCATGTTGCTCTACTAAACCCTGTAAGTTTTAATTATTTTTCATTAATTTATTAATTAACAAGATGATTAGTGAGACTAATTGTTAATTGTTGTTTGATTTGCAGCCTAATACTGCTGTTTTTCCTCCTGCTTACAAAGTTAATAATAAGAGAGACACATTTCTAGGTAACAAACTTGTCCTTTATATTCATAGCTAATCGAATTTCAATTTTGTATCTGGCTAAGTTAGTGCAATAGGTGGTATCTGATAATTGACTTTATTGATCTAATTCTAATGAGTTGTTGTACATTAGCAGATTTACTTAGCTAAAAAAAATTTAATTTCTATATAATAACTAGGTTCATGTTCAAAATTTTAAGTTTTATGCACTAATGATAAAGTTTGGCCTATAATGATATGTAAAGATTGTTTCTATCAAGCCTGATATGACAACTCGATAAAAATTTATTGTTTTCATTTTTTTTGTTAGATGTTAAGGGTGAAATGCATGAGTTTTTGGAGGGACTAGTTGATGCTGATGATGTTCCAACGTACGTTAAAGGACATCAATTTGGACAACCTGCGATAACAAATACTCATAAGGATTGGGATTATTATGCTAAGATAATTTGCGCTGCGGAAGATCCTAGCTTTGGTTGTTCTGATTATGAATCTGAGTACTCTGATTAAGGAAATTACTAGTATTATGTTCTATGAAGAAGGTTAATGGTTTTTCCCAGAACATTAAGTAAATCTTTTCTTAGTAATTGTGTACTTATGATGTTTTGGTGTGGTCTTATGTTTTTTTGCATGTTGCAAGTCTTTTGGGACTTATATTTGTCTATGGGTTGTTAATAATATTGCTATGTTTTGATAATGTTTCTATCATTTATGTTCATATTGTCAATGGTCTTTAATGCTTTTTTCTATGTTTCATATTCATTATATAACCCTTCGTTTCATTTTACTTGTTCATTTTAATTAATCAAAAGAATTTTGCTATATTTTTTCGTTACTATCTTTTGTATTAGAAAACTATTATTTCAAAATCACTAATAAAGTTTGAAGAATATTCTTAGCAATTTAGTTGGTTGTCTATTACATGAACTTTTACTTTGTTGATGAGAATTCGGTTTTCCACCTAACAGTCTACCTCCTCCAATTCCCCTCCCCCTACTCCCAATTTAATTTTCTTTTAATAATATAAGGTTAGCTAGTTTGGTAAAACACCTCTGATTAAAGTTTTATTAAAAAGTATGCCATTTCAAAATGGGTCAAGTAATATAAAAGAGCGAGAGTATGATTATATATTCTATTCATTGAGTGCTTTTAGTTAATTTATATATTACACTTGTTTCAAATTATTTATCGTAATTTATGAAGATAATACTGTCAAATTATTATTTTTATTTTAAAAGTCAAAGATACAATTAATTGTTAGTCTCCCTTTTCACTTTTAGTAGGAATTCTTCTTAAAAGTCTACTAAAATCTTCAATTTTATATGGAGTGATGACACATAAACAGATAAATATTTTAATTAATGAATACAAATTATATTTTAACAAAGGGTATATATTATAACATTAATATATTCCGTGGAATCTTAATAAAAGATAAGATTGTTTAAATCTCTAATAATTAAACGTGTAAAAGAAAAACAAGACAGATAATTTAAGACAGAGTAAAAGAAAAGCCATCCGACCCCTTGATAAACTCTTGCTCCTCGAAAATGGAAAAGGCTCCTTAATTGATGATGAACCTCATGTTGCTCTGCTAAACCCTGTAAGTTTAAATTATTTTGCATTAATTTATTGATTAACAAGATGATTAGTGAGACTAATTACTTTTTATTTGCAGCCTATTACTGCTATTTTCCCTCTTACCTACAAAGTTAAAAATAGAGGAGACACATTTCTAGGTAACTAACTTATCTTTGATATTCATGACTATAATTGTATTTCAATTTTGTATCAGTAAAGGTGGCTGAGTTAGTGCATCAGATTTTGCACGTAAGTACGTACTTTCTCAAAGAATAAATAAATAGTCATTTTTTTGCGTAAGTACATACCTTCTAGCAACTAGTTGATGTAAATATAGTAATACGTACCAGCTCTTTCTATCAAGCCTTCTATGATAAAACCTAGAAAATAACGTAAATACATATCTTGTATATTTAACTATTTTCTTGATATGTCCGAATGACAAAATGCAAGGGTTTCTAGAAGGACTTGTTGATGCTGATGATGTTCCAATTTACGTTAATGGACATTTATTTGGACAATTTGCGATAACAAATTCTCATAATCATTGGGATTACTATGCTAAGATAGTTCGTGCTCATGCAGTATAACCTGGATTTGGCTGTCCTGATTATGAATCTGATTATTACACTGATTAGGACTCTAATTACTATTATATTCTATGAAAAAGGTTAATGGTTTTCTTAGAACTTTAAGTAATTCTCTTGTTAGTTGTTGGTACTTCTTTTTGATGTTTTAGTGTGGCCTTATGTTTTTTTTTTTTTGCATGTTGCAAGTCTTTTGTGACTTTAATTGTCTATGGGTTATTAATGATAAATCACTATGTTTTGCTAATGTTTTATTAAGAGACCACAAATTCATGTGTCTTATATTTTTGCTTCTAAATTCGTCAGAGTATATTATTTGCAAGCTAGGTGAATTTAAATTTGCACAAAGCAGAACCTGTTTTTATAAATGACAGTTTCAATTACAAAAAAAATTATATTCTCGAAATAAAAATTTCAAAATCTCTGATTAATAATGAAAAAATCTCAATCATCCTACTATAATTTAATTCATATCGATCTTGCAACTTGCAAAAACACAAGACCCCACCATTACATCAAAAAGTACTACTAATAAGAAATTATTGTGAAACAAAGTGAGATAACCATGTTAACTGCACTGTAGGAATCTTGGTGTCACAAGTTTTTTCTTCCACACTAACAATAGTAATAATAGCTAAATAATTGACTTATATATAGCTAGTTAATTGACTTCTACTCTCTCCATCTCAATTTATTTATGTGACACATTTCAGATTTTGAATTTCAATTAAGTCTATTTTTTATCATAAATTTTTTCATATCTTTTAAATATTTTTAATTGTCAATTATTGTGAAAATTTCATACCCAAATTTTAAGTTAAATTTAAATTGTCACGTAAATTGGGACATACAGAATTTGGATATTTAAATATTGAATTATATTTTAATGTAATTTATGTTAAAAAATTAACTAGGAATGGATCGTATTGGTTATTTTGATTACAATTAAGGAAAATTATGCTTTAATTACAATAGTTATAGCCCACTTTTTATTTACACCCAAAATAAAATTTAGGTTTGATTTTTTCAAATTTTCCCTTTATGTGATGTCCGTACCTCACTTTTATTGATGCAATGGTGACAGTACAAATTAATTTAAAACTCTCAAGTAGAAAAATTCAATCATATAAAAATAAAAATAAAAAGACTAATAAGTACTATCGACTACTTTTCTGTCAAAAAGAAGGAGGTATATTTGACCCCATTATAAGGTACTTTGATAGATGGAATAATTAAAAAATTGTGGAGCCAGTAATGGCAGTGAGTTCGTTCAAATTTAATAAATTTTGCTTAAATAATATATTTATATTAATAAATTTATTAAATTTTAAACTTAATAATTATCACTTAAACTTGTTGTTGTAACATTTAAAATTCATAAAATTGCAATCATAATTTTGCATCGGACTTAATTATAAAGTAACTCCACTAATTTTCTTGCTAAATGTGAAAAAACAAGAAGGACCACTGGAAAAAGAAAAGAAAAAAACACTGAGAAGAAAAGGAAAAAGAATAGAACTTCGACTAATAAAGAAGTATTTTGTAATAATATCTAAATTCTCTTATTATATAAGAGGGAGTTTATGATGGGACATTGTGATGTCCAATCATAAACTCCCTATATAATATATAATATATAATATAATAAATCATTTTTTTTACTATATAATATATATTTATTTTTCTACTATAAGAGAGTTTATATAATATATAATAATATAATATAATAAATCATTTACAAATGATTTAAAATATTTCATATTTAAAGGATATATAATAAAATAAGTTCACTCTCAAAATTCTATCCGGGTCACATATATTGGGACAGAAAAAATAACATATATCATTTTAAAATTACCAAAAAAGTATTATAAATAATAATAATTAACAACTTAAAATATCTTAAAGACATTTTAAAAGGGTTAATTTTGTAATTGTAATTCTACTATTATATAAGAGGGAGTTTATCATGGCACATTCTATGTGTCCCATCATAAACTCCCTATATAATATATATATAAGAAATCATTTTTTCTACTATATAATATATATTTATTTTTCTACTATATAATAAAAGGGAGTTTATATAATATGTAATATCATAATAAAACCCCTTTTATTATATAGTAGAAATAAATATAATATATATATATATATATATATAATATAATATATAATAATATAATATATAATAATATAATATAATAAATCATTTACAACTGACTTAAAATATTTAATATTTAAAAGATATATAATAAAATAGGTTGACTCTCAAAATTCTATCCGGGTCACATATATTGGGACAGAAAAAATAACATATATCATTTCAAAATTACCAAAAAAGTATTATAAATAATAATAATTAACAACTTAAAATATCTAAAAGACATTTTAAAAGGGTTAATTTTGTAAGTTTATCCATATCACATAAATTAGGACAAAGTGACTAGCAATGTAAGTTATTTGAAAGTTACATAAAAATATTATAAATCACAATAATTAATAACTTAGAACATTTTTTTTTAAAATGCAAATTTGGATGACTCTTCAAATTTCATTTGTGTCACATAAATTGAGACAACAAAAATAACATATATTGCGTCCATTTTAATTTATTTGTCTTAATTTTTTTTATATTTAAAAATTGCGTAAAAATACTATAACTCATGATAATTGACAACATAAAATATTTCAAAAATAAATACATATAAAAAAATTCGATTAATTCTTGAAATTAATCTATCATTAAAAATTATGTATAAAATACAATAAATCGTGATTTTGACCACTTAAAATATTTAGTAAAAAAACAGAAAAAATAAATTGATTGATTGTTAAATTAATCTATCAATGTCACATAAAATGAGACAAAAGTAGTAATATGTATTGTTTAATGTGAAATTATTGAAAACTACGTAAAATGTATTATAAATGTTAACAATTAACAACATTTGATTGAATCTTGAAATTTTATCAATGCTACATATATTCAGACAAGTGGAGTAATATATATTAAGTATTTAAAAATTACGTACAACCATATTGCTTTCTGTAGGCTTCGAATTATCGTGATCATTTTTTAGGCTGATACAAGTTTTGTACTTTTTTTTTAATATTATAAATCGCAATAATTAATAATTTAAAATATTTTAAAAAATATATTAAAAATTTAGTTGGTTTTGGGAAATTTATTTATACTATATAAAATGGGACAAAGGAAGCAACATATATCATTTACAAATGACTTAAAAAGCATTAAAAATTACAATAATTACCAATTTAAAATATTTAAAAGCTATATAATAAAATAGGTTCACTCTCAGAATTCTTTCAGGCTCACATATATTAGGACAGAAAAAATAACACATATCATTTTAAAATTACCAAAAAAGTATTATAAATAATAATAATTAACAACTTGAAATATCTGAAAGACATTTTAAAAGGGTTAGTTTTGTAATTTTATCCATATCACATAAATTAGGACAAAGTGACCAGTAATGTTGGTTATTTGAAAGTTACATCAAAATATTATAAATCA